ACTCCCGAAGGAACAGGATAGTTCTAGAAAACGGGTGACGTGATACTAGTCACGTGATCTCGCTGACGCAACAGTATGATTATGTTGATTTATCTCGTGCTTGCAGAATAAATAAATGTTTTTATTTCATTGTGAATCTTATTTCTAGTTGTTTTCCTTAGTATATTGGCTATATCAATTTGGAAAGAGTGGTTCTAGATATAAATATAAACATATTTTAAGGTTAGTCTTCTCTAGTATTATTCATGTAGGATTTTTATTTAGTTTTTCATACACTAATCATTCCAGAAATTGTCAGAATGGCTATATATCAACATTTAAGACAAAAATGATGATTAAATCGATATTTATTTTGGACATTGCCAAACAAGGAAAGCTTTTGACTTTGTTTTAAAATTTGGTTTTCTGTTTAAAAATAAGATTAATAGTTTTTATTGTAATTTGCAATATGACAAGCAACTTATAAAACAATAAAGCTACTGTTTTATGAAACTACTCAGGCATGTAATAACTCTGTAGACATTATGCAATAATGGTTATTATTAACTTGTTCTTTATAGAAATTATAGAAAATTATATATTATTAAGATTTTTTTTTAAAGTTGAATTCTCCACGCCCTCGACAGGCAGCATAGTAATTTATTAGTTATGCAGTAAATGAAAATCCTCAGTTGTTGACATTAAGCCTAATCTATAACTTAGATAAATGTAACAGTTGTAAATACAAATTTGTATGAGATCATTGATTGATACTGTTCCTTAAAACTTTTAGATTACATAGACTTATAAAGTATTTTAATTATGATATTTTAGAGGTATTCTAAGTACAACAAGCTGTATTATTTCATATTTTAATATAAAATTAGAATACAGCAAGTGATTTTTTTTTTGTGTGTGTGTGTGTGTGTGTAGAAGTATCGTTTTCACAGTTAATCAAAATTGTCCAAGATCAATAAAGAAGTCAACAGTATGTTATTTCTGGGCCTGTTTCATAGAATACTGCTACTAACTTCCTAAAAGAAGTCTAAACAAGAGTTTTTTAAGGAATATGGAAGTTTCTTTTGCAGCTTCATAGATCATGAACTATCTCTCTCTCCTTCTTTTTCTTTTTATCATTACTTAAGGATTGTTGTAAGTCATGTCCTATAAGAACTACAGAACAGTAATAAGGGTTAGATAAACTTTCTTGGACTCCCTAAGGCTTTGTATCTTTGTGATAGTCATGATTGTCTATTTTATGTAAAATGTAGTGTTTTAAATTAACTTCCTAATAACTTTTGACTGATTTGAATAATCTGAAATCTGCAGTTTGATTTGCTACATAGTTTTTCTACTTCTTGTCAAAAGTCTTGTAAATTATTATGTAGTATATCTGCTCTTTTTGTAAAGAATCTTATTATACTTATCTAACAAAAAAAGACCTGGAATCTCATTTTAATATTCATATTATTCTTAAACTTTTTGTTAATGCATAAGTTTTGAAATGTATAGAAAGATGTGGCAGAAGAAACAACAGAAAAAAGGCGGTTAATGGAAATAGAAAAAGAAGATACAGAAAAACTGAGACAAAAATACAAGGTTGGTAAAATTATTTAATATTTTAATGATTATAAAAACAAGAAAAAGTTTTAAGGTTACTTTTACTCATGACAACAATACTTGAAAATAATCATTCTGTAGGTAAAAATAGTGTGATTATGATTATTCACAAACAAACTTACATTATTATATATGAAAGTTCAATGTTGGTGCTAAAAATATTTTAGACTTTGAGAAAAGTTTGTGAAATTTATTGGAGTAACAGAAATTTATCAGTAGACAAACTTACCCTAGCAAATGGAAACATAAAAAAATATAATTGTTATAACTGTTTTCTGTAGATATAAACACAATCCCATCATATACAATGCTTGATATATAACAAATTTAGTTACTTGAAAATTCAGTGACTACCCTACTAAATATACTTGCCAGTACTATAACATTTCTTCTGAGCATAACTTGATATTAGAACTGTAATTTTTGTTGGCTGTATATATGGTTTTGATCAATGTTTCAGAGTTAGCATTATGATCCATATATATTAAGACTTTTTTGGGAGAACGATGTAATAAACAGCTATAAATATACATTTTATAGCTGTTTATTTTTAATTATTCTGTTATTCTTAAAGTGTTCTGAAGACTATTAAAAACTCTTGTCTTATAATATACAAGCTTTCCAAAATTGTTTTCATAATAATAAATAATGGTATTAACAAAAACTCTTGCTGAGACACATGACAGTATTACTGCTTTGTTACATGTGATGATTTCATTTTTTCTTCTTAAAAGAGACTTAGACCAGCATACAAGGGGCAGATTAAGACAGCATATTAAATATATTCTTTTTATGTTGTAATGCTGATTCATATTCTTATAAACATTTAAGAACTAGAATTGATAAATATCTTGTGAGAAAAACAAAGATTTTGATATCAGTAGTACATGTATTTTAGCACTGTGTTTTAATTTTATGTGTATTTTTAATGTAATTGTCAAACTGCAACATTTTACCTGAAACATTTGGGACATTTACTTATAACTCTTGGTCAAATTAATTAGTTTACAAGTCTTACCTTAGCATTATAGTATTTACTAATACCTTATTGTCTTACAAACTGCTTGGAATTTTAACAAGATTATGCATTGTCTAAGATATATGAATATAATACATAGAAAATTGTAATCACTTGCAGCAGAGGAAATGAATTATTTATAATTGTATGAGATATTTCAGCATAGTAAAAAATTGTATGAGAAATATTAGTAGTGTGTGTATGGAGTTTTTATTGAGGTGGTAGCTCTGATTTTCAAAATAGGGTATTGCAATCACCTGTTACACTGTCTTTGGTGATGCAGTTCTCCAGACTCTCCAATGCATTTTTCTCTCCTTTCTTCTAGTGGAGTATGGAAGTCCTTGCCACTTACCAGTCCATAGCCACTGGGATGGTAGACCATGGAGGCCTGTCCTCCTGAGTGATGCATCATACCACACAGTTGAGAGTAGGGCAGTAGCATTCTCCAGTTGTCAATGGTGTAGAGCACTTCCTACCACGGACCTGATGTACAATTTCAAGTACCACCAGGTTTTTGGTTGAAGCACTTCATTGTGTTGAGATTATATATACATACATATATTGCAGTTTGCCCCTTAGGCTGAGATGTTCCTTCTTCCTACCTTCCTCCGGATGGGGTTCCTGGGTGTTCAGGTGTTGGTTGGAGATAATCCAGCTAAGTCATTCTTCATATGTGTTCTGGCTGGTATCCCCCCTCCTGCCCTGGACTGGATGAAAAATGCTCAGTGCTGCCAGGTTTTGGAATGGAGATGCACCCTAGGTTTGCAGTCCCCTTTTCTACTGTCTGCTGGAAGTCAGTTCCAGAGAAATTGGTGTTGGTTGTAGATGGACACTGCCTCTGCCTACCAAGGACCTGTTGTACAATTCCAGATACCCCCAGTTGTTGGATGAGATCAAACATCCACTGTGGTCTGTTGCACCCTAACCACTCAACACCCAGGGGGGTCCCATTAATTGGTAATACATATTATGGGATTTCTTCATCTTTTTCTGCCTTTTATGTTTGCGACAAAGTTATAAAAGAGAGAAGAGTATACCTGGATCAGATGTGGTTCAGTCTCCCACTGAAGTGTGATATTTCTTTTTTAGTTCTACATCTCTTGGTCTCTTTTTTTTGGGCACTTCCTAGAAGGGGATCATTTTTTCACTGGCCAATCACCAGTTCAGTGTGGGATTCTAGCAATGTTGTAAGAGGAGGTAAGATATTTATTGGAAATTAACATTTTCCTAAACTGAAAATGTATTTCCAATAGATACTTACCTTACATTTCCCACCCAGCCTCCACAATTCTGGTGATATGTGGTGTAGGTCTTGTGACCAATCTCGAAGTGATTAACAAGTGCAAGTGTGGAGATTGCACTGGTTATGACAGTTGTGTCGCATTCCTATTGGTGGAGAGCTGCTGCATAATTATTTACAAGTTGATATGTAGAAGCAGGAGGATGAAAGCTAGGAGTGAGCATTGAAATTTTTGCTGATAGAGGGCAATACTAATCAAGAAAAGCTACTTTGTAAGGGTAGTTATCTAACAGAAATACGTTTTCAGTTTAGGAAAATGATAACTTTCAAAAAATGCAAAATGTTGAAAAAACACATAATACTATCAGAAATACATTTTCAGTTTAGGAAAATGTTAACTTTTAAAAGATGCAAAATGTTAAAAAAACACTAAAAAGTAGACTGTAACCATTAAAAATAATGTGAAACAATCAAAAATAGTTCCAAATTGCTTTAGAAAACATCAAAAATGGTAATCATTTAATTATTTTTCAATGCCCTGCCCTCCAAGTTTCTCCATTCTCTACCCCCATCTTGGAGGCCTGAGCATTGTAAATTTTGTTTTTTTTAAAATATTTTGGGTTTTTGAATTAGTAGACCCAAATGGATAAAAAATTGACCTAAACACACTATTGAAATAGTTCTGCCACTCTAACCTTTTTGACACAATCCATAATTGTAATAAAAAAAAAATATTAATGCTCTATATTTTGTAATTGAAATAATGCTACCAAATCAACCTCTTTCTAATTGTTTTACAATAGGGCATATCATTCTACTGTTTTATAGCCAATATTGAAATATCATCATATTTTATTTTCTCACATCGCCTTTATTTATTAAGTCACTAATATTTATGTAATTCATTACTGTAATCCTAAGTATACAAAAGATACTGCATGTAGATCAATATCAGTAGGAATTAACTGAATTTTTTCATTTTTATAAAAATTAATAAAGAATAAGTTTGATGAATAAGTATTTTTTACTTATTTGAAATGGGCCTATTTCTTTTTACCCAATTTTTAATGTAAAAGAAAACTTGCCTTTTGTGTTCCAAATCCCACAGTAATTTTCAAATACACATTTTCTTTGAACAGCAAATTTCATTATGTATCTATAAAATTCAAATTAGTTGTTCTGTTAAAAAAAGTTTTATTGTTTATTGAAAACCTAATAGCATAGAATGGAAATTTTTTAATTATATAATCTCTCTTTAATTATACATAATATTCAAACTCTGTTATGTATTTGTTATTTTAATAAAACATTTAGTTGATTTATATAATCTACATATTTTTTATTATATGCATCTTCATCTGCTTTTGGTTCTATTAAATTTTTTATAATGTTTTTATTTGCATTAGATTTTTTATCTTTATTCAATATTAGTGAATTATTTTCCAAATATGATTTTTTCACAGTTTCAGTATTAAAATAACAATATTTAAAATTCGTATTATCAAAAGAATCTTTCTAATACAGTTATTATTTTCTAATGTTTTATTAAAATGGTTGATTTGGTTAATATTTAGAATTTTTTTTTTATCTACATCAGTTTTTTCCATCGGTTCTTTTACGTTTTTATAATTTTTGTTATCAGCATAAAAATTATCATTGACTAGTAACAATCCTTTTGGTTCATATACACAATTTTTATTTCTATTAAGGATGTTATTCAAAGATTTCTCAATGATTTTGGTTTTACTATGAACATATTTCTGTTAGTGATAAATTAATATAATAATTATTATCAGATTCTTCATTATAGAGATTACCATATGGAAACCAAAAACTTGTTTATTATCATTAAAGAATTTGCATAGTTCCAAAGCTTTAAGTATCCTTTACTCCTTTTCTCTTTTCAATTAATAAGAAGTAATATCTATGGTTTTTCTCAAGTTTGTCAGAATAACTCAGTTTTCAAATTCATCACATTAATAAAAGAAATATGGTTTGAAAAGTTGAAAATAAACTATTGAATACAGTCTTCCTTAATTGACATAGCTTGCTGAACATCCAGTTTCTGTATTGATATTGTTTAAATTGGCTCCTAACAAATCTGGGTAATATCTGGAGTATTCTAATTCTTCATCTTTGAACAAATGTAATCTTCAATGGGATATTTATCATCATTAATTCTAATCCATATTCTTAATGTATCATGTTGTTTTTATTTTGATTATTTTCCTTAATATTAGGGAAGAACATAAATGTTTCTAATTTCGTTACTTATTGTGTTTTTGATTTCAACATCACTCCGAGGATTTAGAGTAAAACTACTGCATTCAGATTGTTGTTCAGGGTAGAGTTTAATATGAGGTAAACATAACAAGTTATTGTTTATAACAACTTTGTAATTTTCATTAGTTACATTGGTATAAATCATATCATTCCATTTCATCCAGAGAACAAATCTCACATTGATATTTGATGGGATTTTTCTGAAACCATTAAAAAATCCAAAATATTGTTTAATCAGTATCCCTAATTTTATTAGTTTTTTGTTTTGTTGTTGTTGTTAGAATCCATCTTTTGGATAAACCTTAATTTTATGAAGCATTACATTTAAATGTTGATATCATTTTATTAATTTCATCCTTGCCATCCTCACTACTAAGTGTTGTTCCTCCATTGCCATCAGATGTTAAAGTCTATTTACTTGGAGTTTCTGAGGTATCA